AACACACAGTTGCTTTAAAGAAAATGTAATTTGCAAGAATTGCATGATAAACTTACTAAATTCAAAGTCGAAGTGCAACCTGAAAATATTAATCAATTTTGATGAAATTTTATCCAGATCATATTGAGGTCCGTAGCTAACTTTTGGGGGAAGGGGGGTATTACTAAATAAAAAATTTTTTTTTCGACCCACCCTAATGTATATATATATATAAAGTGTTCCATTTTTATTGCTCAAATATTCTCCCCTTTTTAAAAATCGATACTCGCATTTATCGAAATATCGTTGCCACTTTTGCGTATTATAAATTTCTATTATTTATATACCTATATATATAATTCCATTTATAAAAAAATTAATGTGATCTTGATCTTAACGACGCTAACCAAAATAAAATTAATGATATCTTTTTATGTTCCGTATGTCCGTATGAGTTGCAGCTGTTCAAAATGAACGTCAGCCAAGAAACACTGCCACCATCAGACCAGAAGCACTCGTAGAGATGGACCAAGAACGAGCGCTGCGCGAAGCCGCCGTCGCCGTAGGTGTCTTTGGGTAAGTGATAATTTCAATTATTGTCTTTTTGCGATTTTCTGTTACTAATTCATTTCTCAGTCTAATCTTATTGCGGATGTACTGATGCATTTTTTGGATAAATGAAACATTAAAAATCAATGATTAAAGAAGAAAAGCGGAAAGAAACAAAGATCAAAGTAAAACGATATTGAATAAAATCTCATCAAGAAATAACGTAACGGGTTATTAATTAACGGTGACTGAGATATTCGCACGAATCGATAAGCGATGATGGTATCTCGGAGGCGTACATCCGAAGCTCTCGGGAACACGCGATTACGTCGAAAGGGCAAGAATGTTGAATGTTGGCCGCACACTTGCGAATCGCGTCTCAAAGGCTTTACGAAATTTCAACTTAGACACGGTCGATTAGAGAAACGGCAGGCGATGGAGACGACGATCGATATAGTCACCTGTCGGTGGATGTAACGACGAGAGCAACGAGAGCCGGCGACGTTGTTGGCACGTTTGATCTTGTGCTGCGCACCAAGCTTACCTTTCGCCGTTATGAGCGACACGCCGAGCGTGATCTATCATGAAAAATTACCTTTGACTAGCAGCCCGAGTAGGCGTAGCGTTTTTCAGGTAACCGGCTGTCCAGGTTGGAACTAATGGAAAATCCATAGAGCGCCAAGGGGTGAATGTTAAAAGCGACGGCCGGTGTGTCCCGACGTGCAGCGCAGCGCATCGTTCTCGGCGTGTTATTATACCGTGCGCGTTATTACACAAGCGGCCAATCTTTCCGCAATATAAGCTTATTTTCAAATTAATTTGCCGCACTTTTAAATATTTAAAAATTCAAAGAATCGGAAATCGAAAGTGATGTATCGAGAAGAATATTTTGTTCGATAGATTATATGTATCAAATCGACAGATCTCCACAAATTTACAAGAGGAGATTTCATATTTTAATACAAAATGCATAGAAGATTTTTTTCTTTTTGTGTAATTGATAAAAGATTTAATTAATTTTAAAAAGTTTAAATATAGAGAAATTAACCCTTTGTTGTAAAATATCTCAAACAAAGCACCCATCTTTTTACAATTTTTCCGTAGTTTTATGTTTTATAATTGGTTTGTATAACGTATTTGGTATTTTTATATTCCTAAGACATACATATATAATAAATAACATAAATATGTAATTATTTTGCATAAACAATAAATTATATACTAATATTAGTTAAAATTCTTTTCGTGCTGTTTTTTATTTATGCTGGAAAGAAGAAAATAATATATATGAAAATGTTTATATTAATGTTTTTGATATCATTAATTTTAAATCTGTACTCAAAATTTAAACAGTCAATCCAATTGGTGGCCAAAATAATTAAAAATTTTAAAAAATTATTTATATTTATCTAAAATATATTTGCGTATATTTGAAAATCATTGTCACGTTTTTACGTTAATTGTAAATTATGATAACAATAAGAGGCTTTTTGAAAAGTAGCAAAGAGAGAGAGAAAAGGTTTTTTTGATATTGAAATTACCATAAATTTTCTAATTTTATCTGTAAATTTGAAATCAGAAGTCTAAAAAGCTCTTACGTATTTAAAAAATTAAAATTTTTAGTTAACTGTAAGCCATAGTTAAACATTTTCTAATTTAGCTATCACATTTGATCTGACATTTTGACTTTTTAAAAATTTTAACTCCAGGTTAGCAATTCTGAGAATCTCCAAATACTATGATTTATCAATAATAAGTTAAATTAGACCACTATAATAAATAACACAATTAAATGGAGAAGCGCCAAATACGGTCAAGGCTGGATCTTGATTGAATTCAACAAAATACGTTAAAAAGAAATTGTGCAACAAAGGATTAATAGAATTAGAACGGAGCATTGTTGATAGTCGAATGCATATCTATGTCAATGCGAGAACTCGCAATTTCATAATTGGATATATAATCTATTGTCATAAAACAATTCACACTCCGACTGTTTAGTTCCACGCAACAATTCGATACGAATCATGAGAGAAGAGAGAGAGAGAGAGAAAGACGTTTCTACTAAAATCAACCATTCGAACGCGTAAACGTGAAGCTTTGAAACTTGCATTGGAGCAGACACGCGTATAATCGTCAATAATACCAGAATCTATAATTACACATAAATTAATGTCGACTCGAGGTTATTGTTACAGTTATAAACAGACTATAATTTGGTTCACCGAGAAGACCGAGAATGATGAAAGAAAGATATTACGCGAATTACAATTTTTAAAAATTATTTTACTCTCTCGCGGCAAGAAATATTCAAACAAAGTTTTACGGAAATAATAAGCAGTATTTATTCCATGTACAATAACGCGCTACGAAAAAAATGTGGCTATAAATGAGTTCGAACGTTACACGCTTTTCGTCGCGCGAGTAATCGATCTTCTCGATTACTCGCATCGCCATCGGACCGATGGGTTACACATTTCGTCAAAGTTTATCCAGAAACGCTAATTGATATTTCTTAACCCAGCGATTATTCTGATTGGTTGACTATTCGAATAAACAATTTTTCACAAACAAATCGCGTTGTCTGTTATTTTCATTTTTGCTCCGAAAAATACCTGGCAATTGAATACGATACAATAGAGATAAATGCATTTTCTTATCATGAATTAAAATGACGATTAAGCAATTACAGATCTTTTAATGAATAAAAAGCGAGTTATAGTACTTAATTTTTTTTTTACGTCCGTTACTAATTTCGCAAAACCGGATATGTATATAAATATGTGTATATATCGGAATAGAAATAAAAATTATTTACTTCTCAAATAACACACCAAAGTACAAAGAAAAGACATCTATTAATAAATGTCTAAAGAAGAGCTTTTTACGTGCTTTTACGGCGTCACTTAAAAGTTTATGACATTCAAATCGAAACTAAAGCTCATAGTAAAGAAATTGCGCTACGGAATTGGAGTATCCGTTAGTAATAGAAGGGTTAAACGCGGCTTGTGCGTGCGTGCGTTCCCTGAACATAGTGTATACATGTATAATATACGTGTACAAAATATGTATATATACATCTGAAACCTCCAAAGAGAGAGGCTCCACTATATGACTGTCTTTGCACGATTGGCCGAACTCAACTGATCGATCGGATTAGCAGAAGTCAAGCATAGCCTCGCCGCTAATGATGCTTGCGAAGATCGCTCGGGCTCGATCGACGGACGACATCGGCTTATCGGCGTCACGACACCGATGGCGTAGCTCGTTGTTTTCCGGACATTCGCCAATCTTCCTCTCGAGGTACGTCGCCGGGATCGGCATCGTTGATCTTACATCGCTCTCAGATTTGACAAACTTTCGCGCGCTGTCCACGACGTACTGCGGTAGCTCGATGTCCACTTTGTAGCCTCGCTTCAGGTTTTCCGACTTGGTCTGCCTGATGACGGATGTCAGGCGTCGCTTGATGTCCGCGCTCACGATTTGCTGTGAGCCCAGTGTCCTGTCGGACGGATATTTGCCGACGACGTTCTCCAACAGTTCCAGAAGCCGATCGAAGGACATACATATCTCGTCCAAGGACTGTTGGCTGACCAGTAGGTAACCTCTGGTCTCGTTTTCCTTCTTCTTCAAAGCGCATTCCAGCTCGGCCACGTCCTTTTGTACCGATCGCAAATTCATCTCGGCGGTTTCGCGGCGTGCTCGTTCTTCGACAAGCAAAAGATCGGTTCGTTTGGTCTCCTCCAGAAGACGATCGTGTTCCGCTTGAGCTTCCGCCAACTGCTTGAGAATACGTTGCATTTCTTCCGAGTCATCCTGCCGGTCCACACTTTGTATGCCAACATTTATCTTAGTAGAATCAAAACTCTTCAGGCTTGTTTCGTCGGAGCATCGCGCAACGTCTTTGCGTTCCGACTGCGCTCCGACGTCGCGATTCGCCGCGGGTTGTATACGAGACTGAAGATCCAAATGAAGGGAAATCTTGGGCATCGTTTGTACGTTGTCGATTGTCTGCGAATGGATTAAATCACGTTGCCGAGTAATGTCACGAACTGGCGGCGAAGGCGGTCGGATCTTCATCTTCGTCGATAGAAGCGATATTGGAACTGTCCTCTTCGGTGGGATCACCTGACACGGTCGCCTTGAGTATTTAGTAAAGGTACTTCGCGCTTTCGACGGCTTCGCGATGTCTTCGTTCTCGCTGCCTCTTCGACTATCAACCGACGCGATTCTCTTGTCCTTCGGTACCAATCCCATCCATTTGTATTCTGACTTTCCCTCAACGTCATTCTGCACCAACCTTCTCATCACCTCTGCCGCGAGCTCGTCGTTCAGGTTCACGTTCTTCCTCACGTCGAGCACCACCAGCGTGCTGTTCTGATCGAGCAGGTTTAGCAAATCCGCGCCGATCTGATCCGTCAAGCCGCAATGCTGAAGGTCCAGCGCCTTCATCCACAAACTGTCGCGTATCGCCTCGATCATCTCTCTGACAGCGCAGTTGCCCAGATGCGGATTATCGTTCAAGGTTAGCCGGCGCAGCCCTGGCATCGCCTCGAAGTTGGGCTCGCGATACCTCAGCGATTGTTTCCAGGTGTCGTGGTACAACGCCAATTTCTGTCTCGAGAGCGCGGACGCTAACGCGCTGCCGCTGTTCGGTGTGAGGTCGCAGTAGCTGAGATTCAACGACCTCACGCTACGAATGTCCGCTATCGTTCGACAGATCAGCTCGCAGCCGTTGTCGCCGATGTAACAACGTCGGAGAGATAGATGGTGTAAGGTCTGCGTTCCTGACAAACCCACGCAGAGCACCGCGATGCAATCCGGTGGAAAGGGGATGCCTTCGAGCTCGAGGTGCGTGAGGCTAGGCGAATTCCTCACACATTGGCCGACACTCTGCGACAGCCACTCCAGCAAATAACGCGTAAGGACCACTGGAGCCTTGCCCATCGCTCGCGCTTTGTCCTCGGAATTTATCTCTTCCAATGGTTTGCGACATTGATACCTGATAAAGATTTTACAGCGTCTATGAGATTTTTTATATCGGGATTATGACGAGTTTGAAAAAAAGTTATTATACTTTGTTGGCATTTCCAAAATAATTTTGTTTGTAACTTTAGAATGCATAAATTTAAAATAAAAGTTTGTAAGAATTAAAATATAAAATGAAAGAGAAATAATTTAGAAAAATTTAATAACGTAATTTAACAAACGTACAGAAAAAGATAATTCTTAAATACATATCCTTAGATATAAGCTCTTAAAATAAACATCGCTAAATTTGAAAAACAGTAAGTAAAGACCAACTAACAAATATTGTATAAAAATAAGATAATGTATAAGAAGTATCGAAAAATTTGATTTGCAACCTGCTGTGTACGCTAATCGATTTGAGCGAGCGGTCAAGAGAAAGAGAGTTCAAAATCGGTCCCCAGTCGTCCATTTTGATACGATCGGTAGTAAAGTCCAGATTATAAGGCAAAGTCACACATATCACCGGCAACGGTCGCAGTCGTTGCTGTTTACACAGTTCCATGTAGCAGCTGGCGAAGTTTCTGCCGGCCGGGATCGCCATTTTTCGTGGCAAAGCCGAGCCGGCAGCATCGATCTTCCGTCGGTGTCGCGACGGAACTTTACCCTCGAGTGTCGTAATGGTGCCGGTAATCTTGCCTCCAGAATTACGAACGGTCCCGTCCGTTGCTGCAAATGCGACACACGTTATCAAACCCGCGTCTCCATTGCGAAACGAATTCCATTTCTACAAGCTCGAAATGTCAAAATATGTTTGAAACACGATACCCAAGATACAAGAGTTTACCTTTGCTGTTGCTGCTTTACTTGAGGATCAACCGCGATCTCACCGCGAAACGTCATCTGCACCAACAGATTTGCATTGGGAATGATTGCGAGAATCGAATTTGTCGAAAGGAATATTTTATGAAGGCATCGATGGCGTCTTCCCCTTGGCTGTTTTCTCGGCGATCGTGATCGTTGTTTACTTGCCTACCTATCCAAAACCGATGTAAAATATCCTGCGTGGAACAGGACGAACCTACAAACGAAACACGCGCACGAACGGACTGAAGATATCGTCACTTGCGATCGTTATAGTTTGACTTATTGCCAGATTGAGTATGTATTTGGAAAATTGTAAAACCATAAATTCGCAATTTTAATCCGTTGAAGCAGAATAACGTGAAATAAAATTTCGTCCGTCTTTTTATTGTATTCAAGGAAGATTGTGATAATAAATATTATACGAAAATAAAATATTTTTGAAATATACATAATACATATTTGCGCATGAATTTTCTTTAAGCCTTTATACATTGAAATTAAATTTCAGCACATTTAACAAAATATGTATTAGTAGAAATTATTAATTACGTATTATTCTTTATTATTTAAATATTGTTATTCTTTTATGAATTATTTCTCAGACCGCCCGTATCCTTGGCCATGGCGAGATACACTACGCCACTACCTCTGCCTACAGTCGCACCAACAACAAATTCCACAAACAATGCATCAACACCACCTCGACAAGACAACGAGGACGGTACGCATTTAATACAGTTGTTACGTTTATAAAAAATTATTAATGTTTTTTTAAGATAATAATAAAAAATAACACTTGCAAACCGAGTAAAAAAAAACCTAAAAATATGTATAATAAATGTTCGTTTTATCCTATCGAAGATGTGTGAAACGACGAAGCCTTTCAATACGAATCTATTATGCTGCTTTTAATTCTACAGTTCTACATTCTTGAGCATGTATTGTTAAAATTGGAACTATATGTTGAAATAAAAATCTTACGTAATTTCAAGAGATAAGTATCATAAAAAATAAAAGTGCCTTGAAATCAGGAGATAGTGCCTCCAATCATTCAGTTTATTTGTAGCGCTAAAAAGTATCTTTCCATAATAGACGCAAACTCCCGATTATTTTAATTGTGATGGCACTTATATATCCCTTATAATTACATAAGGTTTTTATTTCAACGTGTATATCTCCAATTTTAACAATACATGCTCAAAAGCGTACCTCTTACGTAAATTTGCGTGAGTACCATTCGTAGATCTTTATCATTCGCTGTTGTACTCGCAGCTGTTATGGAAATTTTATAATATCTGCATGAAGATAAAGCTTTGCGTCTAAACAGGAAACGCGTCCGAGGATAGCATAGATGTAACAAACGAAGAGCCGTTGACACCTCAACGAAGCGGATGTGCTCAGCTTCCACCGGTGCTGCCGTCGTTGTATTCACCAGCCAGTGCCGAAACCGTTTACGAAACTAGCGCGAGGCTACTCTTTATGGCAGTAAAATGGGCGAAGAATCTTCCCTCCTTTGCTGGCCTGCCATTCAGAGATCAGGTATCAAATTTATCGATCGCAATTCACTTGTATTTCAATAAGCACGTATTTATTATTAATTTAACACGTCCTCGTGTATTTAAAACGTTAGCACGTTTTTATTTGATAATTTATTTCGACGTTGATGAACAGTAATCGTGACGGTAGAAGTTGTTGAGAATTAATCAGACCGGCAAATATCTACGTATTCATATGTCAATGCGACTGGTGAAGAATAGGATGTCGATATAGCGGGTAAAAGCGATTTAATTATTATTTTAAATATTATAATAATTATCAGATATATCAGGAAAATTCACATATATTAAAATAATGCTTCAAAAAAGAGATAAGAACGCAAAATAAATCGCGAGTCCGTATTTATTGCACAGGTAATATTGCTGGAAGAAGTCTGGTCCGAGCTGTTTCTACTGAATGCAGTTCAATGGTGTCTGCCGCTCGAATCTTCACCTCTCTTCAGCGCCGCTGAGCTTACTGCCCTGACCCTCTCGCCTCATCCGCATCCGCACTCAGGGCTGCATCTGCAAACCACCACGGGGAAGCCCAGCCAAGTGGCGGCGGACGTCAGACACTTACACGACACCCTGCAGAGATACAAGGCAGTCATGGTCGATCCTGCGGAATTCGCTTGTATGAAGGCCATCGTTCTCTTCCGCCCAGGTAAGTCTTTTGTCTTCGATTAATTTTGTTTTATACGCTGATATATTTTGCAATTTATCTTCAGTTCTGTTCTTTAATTATTACAATATTTCTCTTGATATTTTATTGTAAATTATATTGTGATATTTAATAGTAAATTGTATTATATTTTCTCTGTTTATAAAATTAAAATAAAAAATCTAGCTCATGTATTATAAGACAATAGGGAAAGGTTTAACGGCCAAGAAACAAGCAATGATAGATTTATAAATAAATAAATAAAATATTCTTTAATGTTGTATCATTAAATCATAACTTTTTCTTTAACTCTTTTTATTAGTGCCACTGCTTATAGAAGATGAAATTACAGTTTATATCATATATATATATATACAGTATATATCATAATCGAACTGATTAATATTAACATAATGTTAACATTACACATTTTTTGAATTTCAATCTACTTTGCTGGTGGACTCAACTTTTTCATGTCACCAAACGATGAATTTATGCGACATTTTTTCAAAGACCAATTTAGTTTTATGTTATGGAATTCAAAGAGATTTTATATGTATATAGTTCGATATGGCCTCTTGATTCTGTAAAATTTTTATGATATTCAGTTTTCCTTTTATTTTCTGTATTTTATTTATGATTTCAACTTGATACACTATACTCTTATTTAATTCTAATGGTTTAAATTATTTATTTTATAAACTGATGAAGACTCCGTGAAGTACATGAAATTTTTATGATTTTATGATGACATTAAAGGATATTTTATTTATTTATTTATTTATAAATTTATTATTACTCGTTTCTTGGCCGTTTAACCTTTCCTTATTCTCTCTGTTTCCTTGTTTTTTTATTCGAAAAATGACTTATTTTATTTCTAGGAGTGCAATCGCGAATATATATATACTTCTATATCACTCTAAATTCGTTACAGTTCGTCTCACTGTAGCGAATAGTCAAAATGCGACCACCTTCTTTGCAGTGAGATTTCACTTTAACTTAAAGTGAACTTGAGTCACTGCAGTTAACAGTAACTTTTTAACTGCTAGTAAAGTGATTTTTTTACTCTAATAAATTTTAGATAGAATAAGCTCCAAGAAATAATCAAATATAGTGAAGTAATTATCTGAGGAGGGAAATCTTATAGATGCATATTAGCATCGAAAGATATTAAATTGTTCGTCAATTTAATTTGTTACAAGTTTCCGGCCGGCTTCATGCAAAGAACTGATATGTTTCAAGACCGACAAACCGTGCAGATCATGTGCGGTTAAATATTGTAATGATAAGAATTTCACACACCTGTGTTGGCTCTCATAGGCAATTACTTTATTATATTTTTTACTCTAGTAAAGTTACTTTTTACTGTTAATATAATGAATTATTTTTTACCGTGTTAAAAAATTTTTACTGCTAAGAAAATTATTTTTCACTGCTTCTATAGTTAATTAATCACTTTTCTTGCAGTGGATCATGCCACTGCAATCATGTCACTATTACCATGACAGTGACATTTTTCACTGTTCCTAATAAAGTGAAAATTTTATTTTAACAAAAGTTAAAACTCACTTTTACATACAGTGAAAATCACTGCAGCATAGCAGTGAAAACCCTAAAATCGACTTTTCACTATATGATAAAG